ATAAGGGAGACTCCGGGCCATGCGGACGCCAGCAAGCTACCTCGGAATCTCCGGACTGAAGTAAGCTCCCAAAGCTCCTACTGCTGACCAAAGGCTCCTGCTCCGGTACTATGATCTGTGCAAAAAGCACAGAAGTGTAGCATCAGCACAACCGACCCCATGTGCTGGTAAGTGTCTGGCCTAACCCAGGCGAAGTAGTGATGAGGCTAGACAGGACCTACCAAAAACAACCTGTGCAGATATATATATACAAAGGCAACAGAAATAACAACAGAGAATATCAACTAAAAAGGGGGAAGGGGGCATGCTCGGGGAAAAAATACAGCGAATACAGATCAACGCATATAACGACGAGACTACCTCAATACCATAACTCATATATAAGTGGTCGGCGCGCCACACGATCCCATTTCTTAATTCATAAGTGGACGACGTGCCACACGATCCCATTTCATAATATATAAGTGGTCGGCGTGCCACACGATCCCATATTATAGTATATATGTGGTCGGCGTGCCACACGATCCCATTTCATAATATATATATATATATATAAGTGGACGGCGTGCCACACGATCCCATATTATAGTTCAAAATATCTGACTTTGTAAAGAAGGCCCCATTAGGGGAATTCGACAACATAACACTTCAACCCAGCAAGGGTGCAGCTAACAACCCAAATATCCCGGCAAGGGAGAGTACATAATAATAGTCTACACGTCCCGGCAAGGGAATAATCACAACACATCCTCTTTTAAATCACTTCTTTCTCAACTATCACATTCTTGTTCGAGCCAACGTTCCAAAATATACCAATCACAATTCTTCCTCAACCGTTCACATTATAAGAAACTTATCAATTAAACAAGGAAGTTGCGTCGCATCATTCGAATTAAAAGCAATTAAGACTCACGGTCATGCTAGACTCCGGGGCATAGACAACCGTCACCATGCCTATACACCGTACTCCACATTTAGCAAGTAGCAAATAACATCCTAATCCTATTCCCTCAAGCCAAAGTTAGAACAAACACTTACCTCGGTCCAAGAATAGCAATCAACTCTCTAATACCGCCTTTCCTCTACAATCCAACTCCGAAACAATGATATCTAGGCATGATTAGTTCAATAATATCAATAAGGGCTCAAAAACATAATCCCATAGCCTAGAAATGAAATTCCTATCATTCTTCCAAAAACACCAAAATTCGACACCGGTCCCACATGGTCCAAACACGAGGCTCGGACCAAAACTCAATCACCCATAACCCCACGAGTTCAAATATATAATTTATTTCAAGATTCGACCCCAAATTGAGGTTGAATCACCCAAAATCCCCAAAGCCCTAACTCTACCCAAAACCCCCATTTTCTACTTTGAATTCATGTATTTAGGGCTAGGAATTTAGTAATTAATAGAGGAAATTGAAGAAAACAAGTTGAACAATGCTTACCCAAGAAGTTTTGATGAAAGGGAGCTTCAATGGACGCCTAAGTGCTTGGAGAAGAAAGGAGTTCGTGTATTTTTATGAAAATCCCGAGTTCACTGTTCTGATTTTAACTTAAAAATTCGCTGGGCAAAATTGCCCTTCGCGTTCGCGGGAGAGGGCCGCGTTCGCGAAGGGTAAACTGGGTAAGCTATCACGATCGCATGGAGACAGACGCGAACGCGTAGAAGGAAATTGCTGGGGGGTCCAGGAACTGTTATACGCAAACGCGATAGGGGAAACGCGAACGCGCTGGAGGGAGTCTGGCAAGCTACGCGAACGCGGTCAAGTGTCCGCGAACGTGAGGAAGAAAAAGGACTAAGCCCTCAGGGTCAGATGACTCTACGCGAACGCGAGGCGAGGGATGCGAACGCGATGAAGAGAGACCACTGAAGCTTCGCGAACGCGTGTTTGGAACGCGAACGCGAAGAAGGGGTTTGCTGTGCAAAAATTGCAGAAAATCTGCTATGTTTTCTAAGTTTAAAATTACCCCGAACCACCTCCGAATCACTCCCGAGCCCTCGGGGCTCCCAACCAAACACACACACTAACTCAATAACATCCTACGAACTTAGTCGAGCGATCAAATCGCCAAAATAACATCAAAATCAATGAATCAAACCTCAAAATCATCATTTTCATTTCAAACTTCTTAAACTTCTAACTTTAGATATTTAGGTCCGAAACACGTCAAATGACATCCGATTTCGACCAAACTTTACAGAAAGTTCTTAACACATATTTAAGACGTGCACCGAGCGTCAGAACCAAAATACGAGCCCGATACCATAGTCTTTTAATCAATTTTCATTTCCATTTTCCTTAATAATTTCAGAAAAACAATTTCACAGAAAAATTCATTTCTCGGGCTCTCGACCTCGAAATTCGACTCCGGGCATATGCCCGAGTCTCGTATTTTTCTACGGACCCTCTAGGACCGCCTAATCACGGGTCCGGGTCCGTTTACCAAAAATGTTGACCAAAGTCAACTTTAGCAATATTAATATCAAAATTCTTTAAATTTTTCACAAAGTTCACATATTTCAACATAAAAGCTTTCTGGCTTCGCGCCCGGGCTGCGCACGCAAATCGAGGAAATTAAAAGTGAGGTTTTCAAGGCCTCGGAAGCACGAAAAAGAGAGAAATCTGATGATGATCCTTTGGGTCGTCACATTCTCCACCTCTAAAACAACCGTTCGTCCTCGAACGGACAAAAGAAAGAAGTACCTGAGTCGGGAAATAGATGAGGATAACGGCTCCGCATATCAGACTCGGACTCCCAGGTCGATGCCTCAAGAGGCTGACCTCTCCACTGGACACGCACTGAAGGAAAACTCTTCGACCTCAACTGTCGAACCTGCCGGTCTAGAATAGCTACCGGCTCCTCCTCGTAAGACAGATCCTTGTCCAACTGGACAGTGCTGAAATCTAACACGTGGGCTGGATCGCCGTGATACCTCCGAAGCATGGACACATGAAACACTGGATGCACTGCTGACAAGCTGGGCGGCAAGGCAAGTCTGTAAGCCACCTCTCCCACATGATCGAGAATCTCAAATGGGCCAATGAACCTAGGGCTAAGCTTGCCCTTCTTCCCAAATCTCATCACGCCCATCATAGGCGACACTCGGAGCAAGACCTGCTCACCAACCATGAAAGCTACATCTCGAACCTTACGATCCGCATAACTCTTTTGCCGCGACTGAGCCGAACGAAGCCTGTCCTGAATGATCTTGACCTTATCCAAGGCCTCCTGAACTAAATCTGTACCCAATAACCGAGCCTCCCCCGGCTCAAACCATCCGACTGGAGACCGACATCGCCTACCATACAACGCCTCATATGGAGCCATCCGAATGCTGGACTGGTAGCTGTTGTTGTAGGCGAACTCTGCTAAAGGCAAAAATTGGTCCCACGAGCCTCCGAAATCAATGACACAGGCTCGGAGCATGTCCTCCAAAAACTGGTTGCGGTATTTTCCCAGTGCACTGCCTCAGTCCGCGTCCAGGTCCGCTGTCGCGGTTTCGACCGTATTTTTCACCCTGCTCTGTTTGGAATTTGAAAAAATATAAAACATGAAAGTTGTAGAACTTTGAGTTATCTTTCCAACCATATATTATATAGTCCAAATGGAGTTCGGAGAAAAAAGTTATGTCTATTTTACTAGACAGTGCGCAATATGCCTACTTGAGTCTTCGTTTGTTCTTAACTATCAAATTTAACCCCTGAACACGATCCCGGCTTAATTTCTTGGGCTTTTACTCAGAATTCAAAGCTCCAAATCACTTGAATTCATTCCATAACATCTATATAGCTCGGAATCACTCCTACAAGGCATAAAATACACAATTAGTGCAAAACACTAGCGATTAAAACGCAAACTCAACTAAAATGCAGTAAATTAGAGTGTAATAATCGATTAAATTACGTAATTATAGCCTATCATCACTAATACACATTTGAGAAAGCAGCACATTCAAAAATTATTCTTGGGGAACCTCAGTTTCACGAAGCAAAAACATTGTATCTTGGTTAAAACTTAAAATACATTAGCAGACATGGAAATTGCATAATAAGCCAAGATACGAGCCTCAAATTCCAATTAAGAATAGAGAATATGTGTCTAATTTATAATAAAAAGAAATTGAGGCATGCAACTTTGCCGATTGCAAAAGTATGGAAGAAGTTATATTCAGCATGAGTGCCAAATGAAAATGAACAGGCAGGTTTCTCCAAATCCTTCTCACTAAGATTGAATTTTAGTTCAATTCACAAATACTACCGTATTGAAATCCACATTCTAAGTTGGTGGTGGTCAAGAGCTTCCGGATAAAAATGGAGATGGTGGAAGAAGAAGAAGTGGGGAAGAATGCGGTGAGGTGGCATGTTATGTGGCATTCATCTCAGCAAAATATCATGCCATGTGTGATGGTGTTGGTCATGGTGGAGGGCCTTAACGGATGAAGGGTATTTTTGTACATGTTTTGTAATGTCGGGTGTAATAGTGATCCGATAATATAACGGCGGACATAAATAATCCTTTTCGAACAGTAGAATGATATTTTTGGCCCTTTTCCCATAAATTTATGATGGAGTAACCATATGTATCTTTGCATAAACAAGAAAACAAGAAAACTTTCCGGTGTTTGTACTACACGTACTAAAAACAAAGGAGAACATCTGTCTCCACAAACTATTAGTCAAAATATGACATTCCGACATGTTCAAAGCAAAAACCAACGACAAAACCAAAGTGGAAAAAGGACATAGGCCAAAAAAGAGAAATACGAAAAATACAACTTTGTATAAACCTTACCGCCTTCGATCTCTCATGCACCAACTGTATATCACAACCAACTAAATTCCAATTTCTTTTTGTTTTGGCCGTCCCATTTTTTGTCCAAATCTCAATTTCTCGATCCGCTGCATTTATAAAACTTGACGCGAGCTTAGCAACTAATGAACTAAGTACAGAAAGAGAGGAGTAAAATAAGTGTCGCTTAAGAAAATCAAATGGCAAAGTTTAAGCGGACAGATAAGAACAGGAGCTTAGAGAGTTTGTTGGACTTGGACAAATCTGCACAATTGAATAAGATCAATGGTAGTAGTAATTTGGCGAGGCAGCCAACTCGGAAGCTAATTCCAGGACATGGTCTTGAGTTCAATAATCTGTCTTATAGCGTCACCAAAAAAGTAAAGAAAGATGGTGTTTTGATCAACAAAGAAGCTTATCTTCTTAATGATATTTCTGGACAAGCCTTGAGAGGTGAAATCATGGCTATTATGGGACCTAGTGGTGCTGGAAAATCTACTTTTCTTGATGCTTTGGCTGGTCGAATTGCTCGTGGAAGTCTTGAAGGAACCGTTAGAATTGATGGCAAACCAGTTAAGTGTTTTCTTATTTGTCTATATCCTTATAAGTTTACACAGCCTTGGCGTAACTTGTAAAATTGCTGCCATATGCCATGTGACCAGGAGGTCACGGGTTCGAGCCGTGGAAACAGCCTCTTGCAGAAATGTAGGATAAGGCTGCGTACAATAGACCCTTGTGGTCGGACCCTGCGCATAGCGGGAGCTTAGTGCACCGGGTTGCCCTTATAAGTTCACAATTTGGCTAAAGACATAGTCCATGACCATGTGACAGTTATGATTAAGAGATTTTACAATATTTCTGCAGGTGACAACAAGTTACATGAAGATGATCTCCTCCTATGTAATGCAAGATGATCAGCTCTTTCCTAGGTTGACAGTTTTCGAGACTTTCATGTTTGCAGCTGAAGTCAGGCTTCCACCTTCAATATCTAGAGCCGAGAAGAAGAAAAGAGTTCATGAACTTCTCGAACAATTAGGCCTAACGGTATGTCAAGACTCACTAATTTCCTCATTTTTCACCCTCACATCCAGCAAGTTACCTGCTTTACACTTTAGATGACTTGACCTAATAATACAGAAATTATTTTACACTGTCGGTGTATATAAGTTAGACTTATTATGTGTTTGTGTAGAGTGCAACACACACGTACATAGGAGATGAAGGAAGAAGAGGAGTGTCAGGGGGAGAACGTCGGAGAGTCTCAATTGGGATTGACATAATCCATAAGCCATCTCTGCTGTTTCTTGACGAACCTACCTCAGGTCTTGATTCTACGAGTGCTTTTAGTGTAGTTGAGAAAGTGAAAGACATCGCTAAAAGTGGTAGCATAGTTCTCATGACCATCCATCAGCCTTCTTACAGAATCCAAATGCTCCTTGATCGCATCACAGTCCTTGCGAGGTACTACTATTTTTGTCCATCCTTAATTGACCTTGCTAGTTTTACTATGCTCAGACATTAAAATACATGTTGCCCTGTTGAAAGATAACTAATAGTAATCCCTTTGCTTCAATTTATGTCATTCTTTCTATCTAATATGCTTAAGAAAGAACGGCACATTTTTATATTTTGTTTTGAAGTCAAAAGATAATATAATAGACATATAGCAAACAGTTACATGATTAATGGAATGATTCTAGTGAACTACATTCCTTTTAGGTCTAATTGTACACAAAAGTTCATAACAGAAGAAGGTGGAGAATTAAAATAGGCTACTTGAATATTGTCCTTCTGGTTCAAAACTCTATTTTGTTTTTTGCTAGGATCTGCTACTTGGTTCTCTTCACTGTAACCCCCCCCCCCCCCTCCAACCCCCAAATATAATCAAGCAAGGAATTTTTATATTTGAAAATTCTTGAACTTTAACCTTCTCATTTTACCTTTAATGACATGCTCGTATAGCCATAGAAAAGACAACTCAATGTTTAAGACCGCAGGCTTTAAGAGTACTTTGGTATGCGCTGAAAATCTTTTTTAAACTTCGTAATCAGTCGAGCGCCATTGTATAAAATGAAATGCAGGGTATTTGAGATGAGTTGGTGCGCAAAGTTCTAGCTGGTTTTCCATGACTTGTATATTCGGAGAACTTTCATGTAAAGTAGAATTGCAATGTGAATATGCAGGGGAAGACTTGTATATTTGGGAAGTCCAACAGGAGTAGCAGCTTTTCTAGCTGGTTTTGCAAGACCAGTTCCAGATGGTGAAAACAGCTTAGAGTACCTCTTAGATGTGATCAAAGAGTACGACGAATCAACTGTGGGGCTTGATCCCCTTGTCTTGTATCAAAAGGATGGCATCAAACCTGATCAAGCTGCAAAAACCCCTCTCCGAAAACCACCCAAAACACCAAAAACTCATCGTACTCCTTATGCAAAGTCACCCTGGACTAAACATATCAGCCTTCGCAGCTCTCATTTTTCGGCCAATGGAAACATGAATTCCCAAAGAGATCCTAAAGATCAGTCTGAATCTGACATTAATAATTATGGTTATGATGATGAGGACGATGAGGAAGATTTTGATAACTCGTTGGAACGTAAGGTACCACAAACACCTATGAGTATGCAGAGTGGGATTCATCCACGTTTGGCTTCTCATTTCTACAAAGATTTCTCAGTTTGGTTATACAATGGTGTTAAAGGAACTCCTCGCCGTCCACCAACATGGAATAACAATGGAGCACAAACACCTTTTTCAGGTTTTAAATCAAGCATGTCCTCAGGTCAATTCTCAATGACTCAACAAACACCTTCACGTCATGTTATAACTCCAGCACCTTCAGCAATCTTTACTCCGGGACGAGAAGGAATGGATCACTCATCATATAATCCATCTTATGAAGAAGTGTTTGAAATTGAAGAAGTACTTGATGAGCCAATTCATAGGCAAAAATTTGCAAATCCATGGATTAGAGAAATTTTAGTACTCTCGTGGCGTACCACATTGAACGTGATTCGCACTCCTGAACTCTTCCTCTCTCGTGAAATTGTCTTAACAGTCATGGGCCTTGTCCTATCTTCCTTCTTCCAAAGACTAAGTCATTTCAACTTCAAAACAATCAATCACCTCCTCAACTTCTACATTTTCACCATTTGCCTAGTCTTTTTCTCGTCGAATGATGCTGTTCCTACTTTCATCCAAGAAAGATTCATCTTCATTCGCGAGACATCTCATAACGCTTATAGGGCATCTTCTTATGTCATTTCTTCCCTAATCGTCTACCTCCCCTTCTTCGCGATCCAAGGCTTCACATTTGCTGGCATAACACAATACATTCTTCGCCTAAATAGCAGCATTCTTAGCTTTTGGCTTATACTTTACTCCTCACTCATAACTAGCAATGCATATGTGATGTTAGTTAGTGCACTTGTTCCAAGTTATATCACGGGGTACGCGATTGTTATAGCTACCACAGCTCTTTTTTTCCTTACTTGTGGATTCTTCTTGAAGAGAACTCAGATTCCTTTGGTTTGGAGATGGCTGCATTATATTTCAGCAATCAAATATCCATTTGAAGCATTGCTAATTAATGAATTTAAAGGCACAAAACATTGTTACAATGGTGATATTGCAGATCTTTCACCTGGTCCTTTAGGTGATGTGAAGATTAGTCCATTGCATAATACTGCAATTTCTAGAGGTGATTTGCCACAAAATTGCACGTTGATTGGAGAAGATGTTCTGTTTTCTATGGATATTACAAAGGAAAATATATGGCTGGATATTGTGATCCTATTGGCTTGGGGAGTTCTTTATCGTCTTTTCTTCTATGTTGTTCTTAGGTTTTATTCAAAGAATGAAAGAAAATAATGTACTTTCCTGTTTAAAGGTTTGTTTAAAATATATCATTTGTATTTTAAATTTTTTTTCACCCATAATTCTAGAGTTTTGTATGAACTGACTCATTGATGAAAGGTGCAATAATGATGATAATTCCATTTTAGGTGGACACAATACAATAAAGATAGTTGTTAATGATTTATGGAATTTTATCGCGGGCTCATAAGTCTTCAACTATTAGACCCTTCCACCTATGCAACTATATATTTGTAATTAGTTCAGTTTGTAAAGCTAATTATGCAGTTAATTAGTATGATGCACCACAGGAACATGTTTGTCACACGCTCCGTGGCGACTAAAATAGTCGCTATTAAAGTATTGTTATATATTTGTGGCGCGTTCGTTTTCGTTTTTGTGGTGAGATTAGCCGCCACAAACGGATGGCATACACATTGGTACAAGCTTTAGCAAAAATATTTAAAAAATTATATATAGAATACAAATAATTTTGATTAGCCAATATTTTCTATGAGAAAAGTAATATTTAAAGAATAATTACTTGGCTTCAAGCTTTTGTGGCGATAAGAAGTAGCCACAAAAGCTAAACAAAGTGCCAAAATAGATTTTAGGTAGGTAGTCATTCTAGCCATGACACTACTTTTCGTGGCGACCTATGATGTTGCCACAGAATATCGCCACTGAAAACCCCATTCCCTAAGTGTTAAAGTGAGTTGAAGCTTCTTTAAATAGATTTTAGGTAGGATGCCTTTCTAACTGGTGACACATGGCACTACTTTTAGTGGCGGCTAGTGATTCCATAGAATATCGTCACGGGAAACCCCATGTCCTGTGTGTTAAAGTTAAGGTGAGTTGAAGCTTTGGTGGCGACCTCTAGTCGCTACAAATGGTGAACAAAGTGCCTCAACATTGATAGGTCGCTGCTCTCACAGTCGACGTATGCACTACTTCTGGTGGCGAGCAAAAAGGTTGCCGCAAAATATCTATCACTGAAAACCTTATTTCCTGTAGTGTTATAGCTCTAACCGTAGTTGTTGAAGTCAAGTACATTATTTTTCAAAGTATTACTACTTTTTTCATAGAAAATATTGGCTAATTGGATTTTTTTTGTGTGAAAAAATTTCGCCGCTTGCCATTTGCCCATGTTGCAATGTTATAATTGTTTTATTCATATTAGCTTCGACTAAGCTCGTCATAATAGTAAATAAATAGGCCACAAAATAAATTTTAGGCACCTCGCTACTACAAACGGCGACATATAGCATTACTTTTGGTGGGGACTAAAGAGGTTGCCACAAAATAACATCACCTAAAGCTTTATTTCCTGTAGTGATCGAGAATAATTCTATATACAAGAATGCCATGTGAAGAGTTGTATTTTATCAACATACACCCTGTTGCCATTAAATACGGGCTAAAGGTCCTAAAAGGTTATGTGCATACTTAACAAAGCTTCAAGTCAACACAACTACTACAAGAATGACAACTCTTTCAATTGCAACATCATTTCCAGCTAAGAGTGGGAAAAAAAAGAACAAAAGTATTATTGGTGACTGAGACGTTTTATTTAAGGATTCAAAGAAGTACTTTCTGCAAAACTCTTCTGTTTTTATTACTTATTTATTCCCTATTTTCCTGTGATGATATTTTGATTTTTCGCTATAGCGTCAACTTGATTACGTAAACTAACTTACGTCCTGATATTTGATCATATATATATTGGGCCTTGACTTGATCTCTCCCTTCTACTAACGAGTCAATCTTTATTTGTTATTGTTCTTCAACGCGATGTTAGTACGTAGGGTGTTTATAAAAACCCGAAAAATCGAACCAAATCGAATCGAACCAAACTGACTAAAAAATCGATACTTTTCAAGTTTGGTTTGGTTTTGGTTTTGAATTTTAAAACCGATCAAATTTGATTTGGTTTTGGTTTTAATAAAAAAATAACCGAAAAAACCCGAACCAAACCGACTATAGAAGTAGCTATTTAAATTTATTATTACACACACACACACAGACATATATATATATATATATATATATATATATATATATATATATTAGTTTCTTCGTACGTGCGTTGTACGTGTATGTTGAGTCATGTGAAACATAATTTTATAAAATAATATCAATATTATTAAAATGAAATTTTGAACAAATAATAGTACATGAAAGAATAAAGTATAACTTTCTACACATGATCAATATGAATCGTCGTAAGGGGACTAATGTTGTCGAGGTAAAGAGAGGCGAAGGTCAGATTAAAATTTTTAATAATTCAAATCGAGGCAGGGCACAAATAGTTTTTTTTAACTGAGGTGTCGAACAAGATGATAGGGATGAAAAATGAATCCAAAATCACATGCCTGCTTTAATACAGTATTGAATTCCAATACTATCTCATCGACAAACTCAAACTATTAGAAAGCAGACCTGTAATTTTTCTAATATAATTACTCCATATATTATCTCATTATACTACAGATTTACCCCTATATATGGAGCATGGAGGTCTCACACTATCTATGAAAAGGCACACATGCACATAATAGTAGTAATGTTTGTTATGAAAATAGCAAGGAGTTTAAATTGGTTTCAGATTTGCAATTTAAGATATAACAGTTCTTCCANAACGCAATTATGTCGAAAATCGCAATTAAACTACAATCGAATGGGAATTGGGATATTAAAATTCAATGTACCCAGTTTGTAGATATTTTGTAGATAAATTGTAGATTATTTGTATTCTGATTGTAGATGCTTTGTTTTCTGTTTTCACAAATCAAAAACGACTAAAACTTCTACAAATCTTCTGCAAAAAATGCAATTACGTCGAAAATTCCATTTATGAGATTGGACGAATCATTATGATTTAAGAAGAATAAATATTGAAATAACACATGGAGCTAAGTTAAAGCTTGTGACAACTTGTACATAGTTCCGCCAACACCAGTAGAACTTTTTGGATTTGCTGAAGAGTTGTGAATAGCTGGTGGAATAAATCTTGCCAAACCAAAATCACCAACATGTCCAGCTCTCATCGAGGAGAATATTGCTTGGCTTCAGATCACGTGATCTGAAGTTCAAGGTGTGGAAAATGCAAAAAATGTACAGCAGTTTGCACATGACAAGGAGAAGATATCAGCTATGCAGGAGAAACGAAGTACTGTTGCATCTGCGGCACAAATTAATAAACAATCAGGTCTTAAGGATACAGGAATGCATGTGGAAGGGTAGGTACTTAATACTCAAAGGCAATTTGCTTCAACTCCAAGCAAATTAGATACAAAGAATAACAACTGGACAGAGGTGAATAAATCACCTCGCAAGAAGCAAACACCAGATCTTCAAAATCAGATTGTACCATCAAATGCCATTGGGGTTTCAAACTCGTTTGATGCTTTGGTGAATGAGGGGGAACACTTTACGAAGGAGGCTGAAAGTAAGGAGCAACAGATGGATAATGATACAAGATCAATAGCTGAAAAAATGAGCTCTACAGGAACTGAAAAGCAAAATATTAATGCAAAGGACATTTGTGCTACACTTGAGATTGCAACGGGGGATAATCACATTGGTGAGACAACTAAAATACATGATGCAACTACAGCAACAATGCATATTTCCAATCCGGAGCTAGATAAAATGGTAAAGAATGCCCAAGCAGCTATGTTGATGAACACAACATCAAAAAATAGGCAACCACAAGCTCCAGGCAGTAGCACACAACAGAAGTTTTCCAAGAACACAAGTGGTCGACTTATTGTTTCGCAGGACATTGTTCCTGTCTATGCGCACAAGCCCGAGGTACACAATTCTAATAGCTCTAGACTATATTTTTCTAACCCTCAAGTCGAACAAATAATCAAAGAGGCCCAGAATTCTATGATGCTGAGTACTCAAATAATTAAACAACCAATGGTCACATTGAACACCTTTGTTTTTGAAATACCATCACAATCTCTGGAGTATTGTGGGGAATATGGAGGTGAGCCAGAAATCAGCAGAACAATACAGCACAATACAGCATGCCATGAAATCATACTAACTGGCCACATAAACTTCATCATTGTCAAGTCTTTAGGGAATTAACAATATTCAATCAGATTCGTAGTTTCATACTATTACTTTGAATCTCGAACACGACAACGAAGAAGCACGCTATGGGGTACAAACAGAAATAGTTTAAAATCGACCCGACTAAAGCTTAGCAAGGAGTTGTACAGTTCTAAATGCCGAGTCTAAAAGATTAGGGATTTTAACAGAGCTGAGTTGTTAAAATTTCACTTTTATATTTTCTTGCCCTTTGCCGACTTCCGAAGCAGTAATCAAGTTCTTGAATACTTGAAGTTGAAGAAGCTTTGAATCGAAAGACCCTAGTGGTCTTCTTCTTCGCATACTCGGTTCACAAATTCAAACCAAAACTCGTGTCAAACCAGCTTCCAATCTTGAGATTTAGCTTCAAAATGAAGTTTCCAGCAAGTATCATAAACACCCATTCGAATTCACATTCTGATTTGAGGGATTTCGATTTGGGTGAGATTTTTGAGGGATTTCGATTTGGGATTTCTATATCTGGACAGATTTCTAACTAGAGAGTAGCGATTTTGGGTTTCAATTAGGGATTTCTAGCTATAGAGGACGGATTTTGGGCGTTTCACTGTTTTTGACATCGAGACGATTTGTTCGAGATGAGAGTGTTCTTCACTTCTGTCTCTGGAGTCTCAGGGCTTTAGTGTTTCTTTTCTTATTTTAATTGCTAGTTTACTTATTTTAAAAGGTAATAGGAGCGACCCGGTCGCTGCAATTCATATTTAGCGGTGACTTTGCAATAGTCGCCACAATAAATATGGAGCCAAAATTTTAGTTTTAGCGGGAGTGAAAATTTTAGCCACTTTAGAGGTGACCCATAAATAGTCGCTGCTAAATATATTCAAACTGTGGCGACTTTTAAAGTCGCTACTGATAATATACATTTTGTAGCAACTTATAGGGTTGCTGCTAAATGTCGCCACTAATTATCCAATTTCTTGTAGTGCACGGTGAATTATTGGGGGTTGGCAATCATTATGAAGATAATCCAGAGCACAGGCAACATCAATGGCAATGTTTTTAATCTTTGAAGAAATCCTAGCTTTTTGTGCTCATGTGACTCCTGATCAGGAGTGAAATGCAACCACTCCTCCAGACTCCCCTTATCCATGTATTCGTAAACTATAGCTTTGAATTCATTACCTTCATAATCAATACTTGAGCATGCACTTAACACCTTTACAACATTACGATGTCTTATGTTCTTCAGAATCTCACACTCAGCTAAAAAACTCCTGGAAGCTGCATGGTGTGAAAGGTCCAGTACCTTAACAGCAAAAACTGTACCATCGTCTTCAGAAATTCCTTTATATACAGACCGAAAAGCACCCATGCCAAGCAAATTGATGCAGAGAATCCCTCATTAAAACGTGGGTGAGGGTGAGGGTTTGGGAGTGAGAAACGTGGGAGGGGTGGGATATACGGTACCTTGAATTAAGGAGGGATATACGCTGCATTAATTGTACCCTTAAAATACACTATGGTATTGAATTGGTAATTCGGTATACTAAATATAATTATATCAAACCGTAAACATTGAGGGTAATAAGGTTTCCTATATGGTATAGGAATGTAAAAATTCCATTTACAAATTCATGACACGGGGTTTTCCTTGCTTCATCATGTCATACCAACAATATTGCAAAGTGCAATTGACTTAAATTTTCACCTTGAGGAATTCTTGTCTATGAGGGACGGAGATATTTGTATCTAATTACATTTTTCTCAGTGACTTGTATTGTTGTCTTTGCGGCTGTTGGTGCCACATTAATGCATTTACTTCTATTCAATGGAAGCTACAAAGAATCATGAGCTTTATATGTTTCATTAATATTGCATCACTTGTCGTCTAATAACCCTCTTTTTGAGGAAATAAACATCTAGACGGAGAGTGGGTTTTGGATAACACGAGTCAACAACAACAATAAACCAGTATAATCTCACAAGTGGGAGGGTAGATAGTAGACAGACCTTGGAATGTAGAGAGAATGCTGTTTCCAGAATTTGGATAACATGAGTCACTTTTCAGAAAATGTTTCTCTATTCGTATGTTTTCTCGTAGTTGTAGTAGTAGCACAAGTGCACAACCAACAAAGTTGCAGCAAGAATGGCTCTGTGGATCACTTCCTCAGGAGGATCGGATTGTGCACTAGTGCATGTGCCCCCACGGACTCTACTAAGGAAAAATGAAATGCTGACTCCATTACTCAAAGCGGTACAATCGTCCACCATCCAGGCAAGAGAGAACAACCCCACTATCCTTTTGTTGAAATCCACAGTCAGGAATGGTACAGGTTGAAGACACATTTGTACTCGAAGCTAACACATTTTTACTCGAAGCTAACACATTCGAAGACACATTTTTACTCAAAGCTGATACATTTTTAATCCACGACATTTTTAGTCGAAGCTGACACATACGTAGACACATTTTTACTTGAAGCTGACACAATTTTACTCAAAGCTGACACATTCTTACTCGAAGACACACTTGTACACGAAGCTGACAAGCATTTAGAGGGAGCAGAGAAGAGAATTGGGTCTTCTGAAACAACACTTTGCTGCGTAAAATGGACAACTTTGCTCCCACCAACATAGATTCCTGCTCATGAATCTATGGAAAGGCACACATGCACATAATAGTAGTAATGTTTGTTATGAAAATAGCAAGGAGTTTAAATTGGTTTCAGATTTGCAATTTAAGATATAGCAGTTCTTCCAAACCAATACAAATAATATAAAGTATTGCATTCATTTGCGGACCCAAGATTTTGCACAAGCAGATTCAACGATGACATGTTACAATTGTAGTTAATGTGATACCATGAATCATTTTAGGCCTTCTTGTCTTTTAAGTGGTTGAAAGAAAATATTAATATTTCATGTCATCATTTAGAACAATACCAACAATAATTTTAAGCTTCTACACTAAAACCGAAAAGTACATTAAAATTAAAATTTTAATTGTATAAACTATAAGCGCAAACAATTTAAATGTTAACAAAGAATTTTACATTTTGATAAACATTAGTTTAAAATTTTTTGTTCTAAAGTTTAACTCTAAATATTTTAGACTTTAACATACTTAAAAAATCTCCAATAATTCTTTTTGCGAGACTAACAAAAGCAAAGCCGTAAACATAAATAATAAGCTAACTTAAGTAAAAATAAAAGAGCTAGAAAGTAAAGAAAACTAATAAAGTGTAATAGGAGAAAGAAAGTTATACAGTAATCGTCTAATCATAATATAATATAAATAAGAAATTTAAATATAAACTAAGTTAAATTATCCTAAAATAACAAATGTGAGCCAACAAATTCTGCCAAAAAATCACAAACTTCTTAGGAAATTGTATATATTTTATTGACGATTTAGCTAGTAAATCACATACACGGGCTTATAGTTTTTATTTCACAAATAAAGAATCGAACTTCAATAGGAAGCTTTAGATTTAATACTAAATTAACATTGAAAAACTCATAAACTAAGTATAAAAAAGAAACTTGCCATGAAGTATATGGGAGAAGTGTCAAGCTTGGTTTATAGGGAACCGGTAGGAAATATTTGAGGAAGCCTTGAGCAGGCATAGGCTCTCGTAATAACTTCAACCCACTCGACCATTATATTGTTCCATAAGTCAAGTGGTTCATTCGCAAATATATCTGTCCTTTTTAATATAATTTAAAAAAGAAAAATATATATATATTTTTTTGCGAAGCGAATATAATTGAACTCGCTTCCTTCAACGTGGGTTCTCTCCTACTTCAATGGAGTAAATCATGCAAGAGAAATGTGTGTAAGAATGAATGAACATAATGCATGTAGACACACTTTGATTTCTTCTACAATAAAAACGTGACCCAATAGTAAAAAATGAATGGAAAACTCGCCAAGTAATTTAAGAAGAATGATGAATTGGCAATATTGACGGAAAGATGTTTTTGGAAAAAGGGCTAATAATTGCGTTATGCAGAAAGACCAAACCATTTGCGAAATAATCCTTTCGTCCCAAAATTATGCATTTATAACAAATATTTATGTAATTCCAACTTATGTATTATTGAAAATCTTTAAGGTAGTAACCTGACAAAGTAGACACATTAGGGTTTTTTTTTTTTTTTTTTGGTCAAAGGGATAATATATATTAATTAGTTAAAGGGGGGAGGGGGGAAGGGGGGGGGGGGTTACGACTGCTTTGGGAGTTACTGGGGTACCTTATGGCCCCCATAGATGCAAAGTTATGCATAATTGTACTTATGTTACATCCCACAAAAGATGTAGGTAGTTCAGTTCCTAGGATGTCTGCGCAAAATACATCATTGGCAAATACCGAGGGAACTGCTAGAGGCAAGTATTTGTTCAAAAAAATTTCTTTAGCTGCTTCCTTCGCCAGCGCATCAGCTACCCTGTTTTGCTCGCGATATGTGTGCCTCACGACCACGCTGCCCATCCTTTGAATCAACAATCTGCATTCACAAATTAGGGGGTCAAATATTAGATTTCCATTTAACAACATATTGATTGTTTCTGCTGAATCAGTGTCTATTTCTAGAGGAACTAGGTTGTTTAGTTCAGCTAGTTGTAGACCTCTGATAAGGGCTTTAATTTCTGCCCTTATGTTTGTTGTTTGGGGTATGTTTTCCATGAATCTCAAAATCCAATTTCCATTATGATTTCTGAAAACCCCACCAGTTCCACCAATTCCTGAATTTAACAATTTAGTACTTTGTACATATCAATGTTACTACTTCACAGTATTTTTGTTATTATCATGGCAACTTATTTGAATAAGTAGTGAGTTTCCGCAGATTTTAGATGAATCACTGTATATCACTCATCAAACAGGAAACAACTTTAGCAATTTTTTTGTTCTTTGTTTGTCAACTAAATTGGAATTTAATTTTTTTTTATTCTTTATCGAAATTAAAGAGAATCTCAACTTTCATTCGATGAAGGTGTATGTGGAGAAAAGACAGAAAGTTCATCGTAAGATACTTTTTAAGTAAACGGGCAATGTTGATATAGCAAAGGTCCTTTTCACTACAGAAAGTTAATTAAAATTATAAGGATAGTATATGAATGACAAAACCAAAACCCTATTATAAATAATGAAGTACGTTGAAACTTCTATCCACACTCGCATATATAGATATTATATTTGAAAACTAATGATATCTTCTTTACCTAAACAACTAATGATGCTCTTCATTGTAGAAATTTAGCAGGAAGGATTACAAACAAGTCAGCAACTAATCTTTATTAGATCTAACTAATTCAAATAAAAAGCAAGAAAATAAAGGATAAACAACGAAAAGTTATACTCGAATAATCTTAATTAGAGAAGAAATCAATACAGTATTGGAGGTTTTTGATGAATCCAACTAAATTTTGAGAACATGTTCCAGTGTTCCGCCAAAAATCCATGAAAAAGAAAGAGAGAGAAAGAAAATAGTGAGTTAAGACCAACTTACACAAATATCTCCCCTAAATTGCATGAAGAAAAAAGATTTGGAATTCTTTCTTAACTTTGGAGCTTATGACCAATTATGCATGCAACGAAAATTTGGACCAGAAAGAAGGGACAATTCGGATACTCCACAATCTAATGTGATCGAATGAATTTAAACAAAGCATCCTTTCACATGGATGAGTAACGCACTTCTGAAATAACACATCGGTTCGTAAGTTTTCTTGAGGGAAATATTTTTCTTTTTTAATAAATCAGGTAATTAGATTTTTTAGGCTAGGAAGGCATAAAAGTAATTTAACGTCTTACAAAAGGGCTTCCTGCTTTTAATAATGTATATAGATTTGAATAAAAGATAGTCTTGATTATAACTGCATATCAAAGACTTGTCCCAACATTTAGTGAGTCGTCTATGATACTTACTGAGCGCATTATGTATTCGCGTCTCCATTGTTGTACTTTTTTCGCTTCAGATGTAGGCCACAGTACCAAGAGGGGAAATGGGCCTTCGTGGCCATTTACAATGTTTGAAATTAAGAAAGTATTCTTTTGAAATCGCTTATGTGTAAAATTAGATATCTCTGTTAGGGTTTTGCCCTTAATTTCTAATCTATTAGGACTCTCTTTCTTGAAGGAATGAAAAAGACTCCTAAAAGGATTAAATCTCCTTAATATGTCTTATCCTTTTCTTAGAAGACAAGTTTTGCACATCTATAAATTAAGGATCTCTGCTTCTCACAAGAGCACAAAAATTATCCACACTGCAGTCATTAAAGAGTTTTATTTAAGGGGAGATTTTTCTATCGATAGTTTTCTTCTTTTATATTAGTTTTATCATATGTAGATCAATTGACCAAACCATTAT